ATGTTTCAAGTGCCTTCTTCAAGCTTACAGGTTGAACAAGGCGTTAAAAATATCCACATTCACTTGTCCTTGCCTCCTATTAGTTAGACAAATGTTACTGCCTATCCAGTACGATCTACAATTTTTATGTTTGGGTATTATTATTATAAGCGTCAGTGGCCCAGCGATTGGGACGCTCGCCGACCATGCACATGGTTCGGGGTTCGATCCCCGGCCGACGCACTCCTTTACCTCGCTAGACCAGTAATAATGCTGGTAAAGAGGAAAGGTTGGGCATGGGGCTTGCAACCCCATCCTGTAAAAATAAACACTGATACAGAAACTTCAAGCCACTAGCTTGATGCCTTATGTTCCACCGGGAACGTGAAGGAAAAATTATTATTATTATTATTATCATAAACTTCCAGAGATTTTAAATCGTGGAACAATTTAAGCCGACTTGCATATGTGCCAGGTTTTGTTGAAAAATTACACTCATTGTGATGTTGATTTGTATGCAGTAAAATGTCAACCTTACTTTAGTAACATGAAAGACAATATTCATTTTGTCTTCTAAACCAAGTCTCAGACAAGACAGTTTAATTTACTTAAAATCATGTTTAAAATTCTATGAATGATAAAACAAAGTTCTGGAGAATAAGGCATAGAATGATTTCAATGGATATTCCATGAACAATGCGTCCGTAGTTCAGTGATGGAATACTCACCAACCACACACATGCTAAGGAGTCCGATCCCCCGCGACGCAATTTTAGACATTACTTAAGAGGTAGTAAGTCTGATAAAAAAAGAAGGTTACGTGTGAGGCTATCAGCCTTCCCTGTGAACAACCACCACTGCTACTGGAACTTCAGAGTTCAAGCCTGTAGCCTTATATTCCACTCAGAACACAAAGGAATAATATGCAAAATAAATTTCATCAACAAACTTTTGGATTGACGAGTGATCCTATGTTGAGATCATAAAAATGTTGGGTTCTCATCTGTAGATTAATGTTGCATCTTGATCAGGTCGTTTATAACTTCCCTACAGTCTGTCTACTTTAGCTAACATGGCTAACGTCGAAAAAGCATTCATCTTTATCTGCGGCATATGCTCTAATCATCTCAATCAGCGTAAATTAGTTTTTACTCTGCACTTCAAAGCTAGCAAAGTCTGCGAACTCACTATATTAACCATCCCTGGCGCCCATGCTTCACAGATATAGATCAAAATACATCGAACAGATGAAATGGTAATCTCGTTTTCTATTCCCCTAATGAACACATCGCCAGCATCACAAATTGGCGAGTGCTAAGTGAGTCTCTTCTGTCTGTGCTGAAATATCACTAGTGTCCAGCTTACTACCCGCGATACGGATTTTCAGCGTATATTACCAACTGACTGCCAACTGGTGGCCTAGATAGTCATGAACACCAATCATCATTTACCACTGGTCAAATTTTGGTTCGAGACATTTGGAACAACCCATATTTCATTAATACGTATAAAAGTTGGGCACTGTAGTGTAGCATAAATCCGTTTTAGTTTATTTCTCTCATATGATAAGGCAGAAGAGTATTATTTACTAGTTGGCGTTCCCAGCAGAATTCGCTGCTAGTAATAATTTAACCTATTTTGCCTTACGGAGCAATGTCATGAATAGTCTAAATCAAGCGGACATTCACTGGATAGACAATGAATCCCTGAGAGATAGTAAAGAACTATGACCACTCAAGCAACATAATTGAAAGTAGGAGTTAAAAATGGTGAATTTGCGCATCCTTAGACAACACGGTTTGTCATCACAAAAGACGATAACTTTTCTTAAACTTACACAGCTGCGAACCCGGAACCATGATTACCACTATTTTCTTTCTAGTACTTATATGCGCCATACTAATTTCTAAGAGGCTATCAAAGGGTGAGGGCTGTGGCCCCTGAATCCTCATTCAAGCCAGAAAATCTCCTGGTTCTTTCGAGTTACTTGTTTCAGAGTCACAGTTTGCCCTCAAAAGGTTACTAGATCGCAGACACAGTAATGATCTAGTTGATCAGTTGGCATTATCAAAATAAGGTCTCCACACAAATATGATAGGACTATATTTGGTTTCAATAATATGGAGATGAATAAATCAGCGGACACTATTTCTAACAAGTTCAGTCAAGAAAGCCGAAATTTGAGCTGTTTCCGCTCTTTGAACTAATTCAATTCAACTATACCTCTTATGAGCTCTGAGACAAACGACTGCAACGACTTTTTCGTTTGAATTATCACGATGTGATAGGTGAAATCTAACAGTGGCTTCCAGCTCTACTCATACCAGCCAACAGGAGACATAAGATTACACTTCTGTTCTAATTTAAATGTCATTTACAGTCTTCATACTCGCATTTTCCTTTTTAAATTTGAATAAGGCGAAAACAAGTTTTGTGCAGAATAAAATGAAACCATCACTTATTTCGTTGGTTTCCTCTTCTTCTGCACACAACCGAAAAACTATGCAAATAAATGTACACAGAAATTTCTATCGTACTTAGAAAGTTGAAATGTCAGTTAACTGGACTCCGAAATCAATAGACAATGCTCAGAAGTCACACTTACACGACTTATACACAAGAAGTCCAAGTGTTTAGAAAGAAGCGGTTATCAGTATTCTCTTGCCCTGGTAACTCTAAATCAGTCTTCTGTTTAATTGAATAAGTAAACTTTGGCTGTAACACCTTTCCCTTTGGTTATAGTGTGATCTTGCTTCTTATTTTGTTTCTGTGATTTCCCTCGAAATGTTGTGTGACTTATTAAACATTTTTCACCTGATCTACCCTTTTATTATGCAATTCCTTTTCCGCTGTATCCAAACAATAATTATTTTCTACGCTTTGCTTTGTTTAAACTTGAACATTCTGTGTATACGCTGCATAAATGTGATTTCTGAACAGTGTTTATTAATTTTGGAGTCTCCACTTATTGGCCATAAGGTCACTTTTTCAAATACAATGATTAAAATTCTGTGTGAATATCCTTAATTAACTTTTCAGATTAAACGCAGCTGAAGGAAAGCTGACGAGATAAATTATGGTATCATCTTATCCTGTATAGGCCGTAGCCATTTACTTTGTCAAGCAGGTAATCGGGTTGTGGTTTAGATATTTTATAGTAGCAAAATAACTGTGGTGACAATTCGCCCCCAGCTGCGTGCTTTGCAAAACAGGAATTCCATGCTTCTGATTTTTACACACGGCTGGTGCCTCAGTTACTGCGAATGACAAGCTCTGGCCATCATTCACAAAAATGCCCGCAAGTATAGTATGAAAACTTTCTCGTTTGTGGCATATCATACATAAAACATTGTCTATGCTCGAGAGGGAGGGTAGACAATTGAATGATAACTCTGTCGCCTGTGAAATGTTCAAATATTTTAATCATATTGTCAGTCCCACTTATTACCTATATTGAAGCCAGGCTCGAACACGTTTGCAGAGATTTGTTAGCTTATTTTTAACCACTGAAAAAGACAACCAACCACTCGCATTTCCATGTACTTAGCAATGTTCCAGGTCTATTGTATGGAGACTAGCGATACTGTCTGAGGAGGGCTGGTGACTGAGACCCATAGTTTGACATTTTACCCTTAAATAGTTGGTCGAATGTTCAGATTCTTCTTTGCTTATAGATCTTTGCGCCCACGTAGTGCTCCGAGTCGCTACACTACGTATGTAGTTGATCACCAGGTTTATTAAAATGAATACTACCATTCACTCACTAAGTCAGTTTCCCAGGTGTGCGTACAATACTAACCATTGTATTGAAGTATCTGGATGAGTTCTGAGTGATTACACAGTCCAAATGACGTCAGATAAAGCTGGCATAGTATGACATCAGAAGTCATTTCCAAAGTTGCATCTCAAGTCAAACAAAGCTACCAACAAAGGCGAAAACTGCAAAACCGTATCGAAAGTATATCTTCAAATTTACGAACTAAAAAGGGAGGACGGTTAAAATACTGACCGAAAAAGAATGCTTTCTTATGACAATACTTCCTCCTAAACAGTACTTTGATTTAATCTTTAGATTCCAGCATAGCGTCAAAATGAGTAGAGTAGTTGCCTTTAGTTCACCTGCTAACTAATAAGGCGAAAAATTCTTTTAGTCAACACAATGCGTTAGACTACTGTCGTGTGCTGGCATCAATGATTCGAGAAAACTGTTTAGTCTACCTATCATCGGAATAAATAGAACCAAGAATAGTAAACTTGAACATAAGCTTTCGGACTAGCTGAGTGAAGCGATGCATGTAATTGAAAAACAGTTATGAATTTCCAGTTGTTTTTCGTGAGAAAGGTATCACAATGCTAAATAAATCAAGATTATGTGAAACAATCACAAAATACCGGAAACGAGCATACAAAAAAGGAATTACCCGAATAATTTTTTACATATTACCAAGCTTTAGTGGGTATCATGTCCGTATGGAAACCTTCAACAAATATTAAATTTTCCTTCATGCTCTATAGGAAATTAATTTCACAAACTAATATACAGCAGATAACACGGAAAAAGATACTGTATGAATCGGCTACCTGCATGAAGCTAAACTTAATATTGTAATATGCAATCGCAAACAGATGATTAGTCCCATTAAACTCAGTTACGAAGGACAGGATATACCAGACCGTAAACCCTATTTATTGTATGAGGTTTGCCTGCTCTACACAGTTGCTCAGGTCAAAGTAAGTGGAGCGACTTGAAACCGCAACTCACCAGCTGAGAGTCCGATGCTCAAGTCAGACATACATACATACCGTGTATGATTTCAAAATATAATATACTGCTCCAATACGGCATTTAAAAGATTTAAAGGACTGCTACTGGTGATAGTACCTTTACTTTTTTTTTCTCCCATAAAGTGTAAATGCTCAATTGTCTGAACCTCTGATCTACCTTACCTGTCCACTCACTTGAAATACAGTCTTCAGTAAACTAATTACCTAGAATTTCACACATTGTATAACTGGTAAGTATCTTAACGACTATTTACGGATAAAAAGCATGCATATCACAAGTAATCCCTCCATATGATTACAATGTTCTTCATAGTACATAAATGAAGCTATAAGCATGAAATGAACGAAGTTTGCATCCCTACAGATGGAAGTCTAACCCACATTGCAAAGTCAACCACAGTTAAAGTTATTGTGTCGCTGAAAGCGTTATAACGAAGTGGCACTAAATAGTCGTCTTTAAACTAGTCGACATGTGTAGCGAAAACCAATTGCGAACATCGGATGAAAGAACAATACCACGATTTCAAATATATTTACTCATTGTCAGGCGTGAGATTGAACAATTACAACTATCCTAACTATACTAATATGTGGTAGTATTAATGAAGTCGACGGACTGTTTGAGTAATACGTAGCTTTAGAGGACCCCATTATAAGCTGCACTGCACACCAACTTTCTATAGTATGAATAAGCATGAACTTTAGTAGGCAGAATAGTTCTATGTGTATTTGGCTAAATTACAGAGTGCTTCTACTACTCATCATGGTCCAATAATGCCAATTCGGGTTTGTCATAACCAAGTTGTTCTAGAGTTGGTAGACCCAGTTCTTTCATGGTGGGTTCCACTTCTTTCTGAAGCCATTCCCATGCGCCTTTACAAACTTGACATTTGAACTACAGAATAATATGATAAGAAAGTAGCATACCTTAACGGCTTCCATGAACCTAATAGCAAGTGCGATGTCATTTAGGCGTCTACATGCTTTGAGACCACTTATCACAACTTCTGGGGGTGGCACAGCATCTTCAAGGTGAAGTCTTTGCATCCATGTTCGAGCCCACCAACCGTCAATCTTCGGATCATCGAATGCGTTCACGAAACGGGACTTAAAAACTTCATATGGCTCAGTTTTATTTGCATATTCTGGATTAGTAGAGTGTTTGGCACACTGTTTCGCGTACAGACTTGTAATGAGTTTTGAGTGTGCTTCAGATAAATCAAAAAATCATATAGACTTACCTCTCAGTAGATTATTGGTGACGAATGAGACAGAGCGAATCATCATTGCACAAGTAGCGCACTTACTAAACTCGCGCTTAGTATCCAATATCCAATATCGTTTTTACGCGCTAGTATAAACCCATTTGATTTCTTTGTGCTCGCTTCTTGATTGTAAGGTATAGGTTCCTGATCTTCGGTAAACTTCTGCGTAGCTTGTCCCGCCACTCGACTGTCGTAGCTTTGGTTGACTCCAAAGGAAGTAGTGCTGGGATTAATTATATGTGGTTTGTAGTATGAGGTATGTTAAGACTGTTACTACTGTGATTGGAGTTGATCCTTTCGCCAGTTAGTCCTTCGGTATCGTCGACAAGAGAAAAGAGATAGTAATAATAATAATAGATATAATGAGTGAAGTTATTCAGACTAAGAAACAGAAACGGAAATAGGAAAGCGTAACAACAGTCAGCTCATTAAGTTTGAAGAATAATATACATATCGGTAATAATAATAATAGTAATTATAATATTAATAAGTTGTCAGGAGAGTAAGACGGGAGAGAATGTAAAGAAGTGAAACGACGAGTTTAATTGTCTACCCTGAATGGTGTATGCGATTTTAAGGAGATAGGCCATTTGGATGCAGTCCTTGTATCGCTGCATGGTTGTCCAGCCTTCGCTTAAAGGCGTCCAAAGACGGTGCCATAGCTACATCTGCCGGCAAGGAATTCCAGGGACGACAAACCCGCAGTGAAAAGAAGTGGGAGCGCACCCGGGTCCTTGCCCTCTGGTGAGCTATCCTTCTGGGATTTCCACGTGGGAGCCTATACCTACTCAATTGCAGAACACCTTTGTTTGGGTGATTCTGGTCATTTGTTATTTTGTAGGCAGTAATCAAATCCCCCCTAAGCCGACGGTAACTAAGTGTGAACAGGCCTAATTTCTTCAGCCTTTCATCATATGGTTTGTTTCGGAGACCAACCACTCCTTTTGTTGCCCGTCGTTGGACTCTTTCCAAGAGGTTGGCGTCTCTTCTCAGCATTGGGGGTGCAATAATATTATGCACCTCAAGGTGTGGCCTGACGTATGTTTTGTACAACATTAGAAAGAGCTCAGGAGTGAGTGCACCTAACTGTCTATGCGTAAAGTGTATGACCGCATATGCCCTCGCTACATCCCCTGTGTAATTTACGCTTGTGTCCATTTTTTCCGTTAGAACTAGACCTAAGTCGCGTTCCGACGTTGTGCAGGACAAGCTTTCATTGCACAGGGTGTAACTTGCATTCTGCAGTCTACAGGTGCGCAACTTCACTACTTTGCACTTTTTCAAGTTGAAAGTCATGCCACTGGCCACCGCCCAGTCTTCCAGAAGGTTTAGGTCTTCCTGTAGCCTATCTGAGTCCTCCGGACACTTTATCGCCCTCCATATTTTTACGTCGTCAGCGTACAGGAGAGTCGGGCAGCTCAGACGGCGTGGTAGATCATTGATGAAAATCAAAAACATCAGTGGTCCTAGGATAGAACCCTGCGACACTCCTGATGACGATCTGTGCCAAGATGATCGGACTCGGTTAACCTTAGTGCAAAATTGCCTGTCGGCTAGGTAGTCCTTCAACCATGACAGAAGTGGCTCACCTATGCCTGCCTGGCTTATTTTATGTAGGAGAAGGTCATGGTGAACAGTGTCAAATGCCTTCTCAAAGTCTAGGAAGACCACATGGACTGGTACGTTCAAGTCCCAGCATGATGTCCAGTCGTCCCAAGCTGACAGTAGGTTAGTGACGCAGGATCTGCCTTTTCTGAAACCATGTTGGGCTTCATGTAGTATATTAGTCCTATCGAAATATTCCCTGATGTGGTCGTCAATAATACTTTCCAGTACTTTTGATACCACTGGGAGTAGAGCTACTGGTCTATAGCTAGCAGCGTTTTGCCTGTCCCCACCCTTGAAGATTGGAGAAAGGATGGCTCTTTTCCACTCCCTTGGCAGGGTCCCCGAATCCATTGAGTGTTGGAACAAGTCGCACAGGGGTCTACAGAGAGCCTCGGCGCACTGTTTCAGAACAGATGGCCTGATGTCGTCACAACCTGGGGACTTCCCAGGTATGAGTCGCTGTAGCTTCCTTAGTACTATTGCGGGGTTTATTTGGGGAGTAGTCGCTAGGTCTTCCTCCTCTGAAATAGTGGTGCCACCATTTTGGTCCGTAACTGTAATATCCACATTGCTGTTTAGCTGTTTAGCGAAGGCTGAACTGAATGTTTCAGCCATCTCCAGACTAGTGAGATATTGACCGTTTGGGCCTACTAAGGCGCATGCCCCTTGGTTTGTCGGTTTTCTTTCCGACATGAATCGGTACAAGTTTTTAGGGTTTGATAGGAGTTTTTAGCAAGGTTAGCCTGGAATGACCTCCTGTCCCTCCTAACTCTTGCATTACACCGGTTCCTGAGTTCGAGGTATGCATCGTGGTCGGTCTGACTCTTAGATACACGCCACGTAAACCAAGCCTTCCGCTTTGCTTGCAGAATACGTCGGGTGCCTTTCTTCAACCATGACGTCTTTCTCTTGGGCTGTGTTGTGACTACAGGGACGGTATCAGAGATTGCTATATGAATAAATCCTCCATGCAATCAAACAAAATCCCTACAAAACCAATACTTGAAAATAATCTTTTAACCACTTCCCAGTGTTCATCCACAGATAGATCGTCCCATGCTAAGGGCCAGTCTGCGTCGGACAAGAGCCTCCGCATTTCAGCATAGTCAGCCTTGCTGTAGCACAGACATGGTCGCGTAACATCCCATTGCAAACGCTCACGGAGGACAAGATCGAAACCTATGACTGCATGGTCACTGCTTCCCAGAGGAGTCATGATCTGGACCTTTTCGACGAGTAGCTGGTCACTAGTTAGAATATAATCTAGTTTTGATGACTTTCCACTAGGGCCCCACCTAGTGTCGTCTCCAACATTCTCAGTCAGTCCCGTGTTTCGAATAGTTTGCAGTAGGTTTCGGCCAAATTTTCCCTTAGCACACCCGGAGCCGAGGTTCAGTGATGGAGCATTGAAATCTCCAGCTATGGTGATTTGGTCGTAGCCCAAATCTCGTATTCCTGTGATAGTGCTGAGCAGTAGCTGATTGTGCTCTGCCCCACAGGTGGGAGATCGGTAGATGCCACCCAGTAAGTGCTTGGTGTGGCCTACGGTGAAATGACACCATATGGAGTCTGGGAGTTCGATAAGTGGTGGGTCCGTTGCGCGCACACATTTAAGTTGCCTATCAAAGTATATAGCAACTCCCCCTCCTTCCTTATTATCCCTGTCTCTCCTGACCAGTACCATATCACCTATACTGATTTCATTGTCGGCGATAGTGGGGTTTAGCCACGTTTCAGTGAGAATGATTATTTTCAGTTGAAGGTGTGCTTGGAGATTTCGGAGTTCACCTACTTTTCCTCTCAGCCCCCTCACATTGCTATATAGGCAACTGACAGTGAGTCTAACAACCTCAGAGTGTTGTGGGGTAGTTGACGTGAAACCGTCTGCTGGTGGGGGACTTGATGTTGGAACTAGTTGGCCGATTCCGATAGAACCGGCCCGTTGTAGTTTTTTTCAATGGATTTAGGCAGGACACTTGGGAGACACAGACTATTATTCTCAGAGCTGCATCGCTCTAGTGTCACCGAAGCTTGGGGTCGTATTAAAGCCTCAGTTTGCTGCCTCCTTATATTTCTGGGTCTGCTTTCACAGCATCGGATGTGTCCTCCAATTTTTCCCTTGGTCTCATACCACCGTTGAAGTGATATGGACAACTGCTCCGGGGAGTTGAATGTGACACATAGCAGCTTTGGAGAGTTAATCAATGTTAGATGAGCGGGACGAGGTAGTCGGAAAATGGAGATGGCTCCAGAAGCGCCAGGGGCCATCTGAGATGACAGCCATCTCCATTGTTGTACGTCGTGCATGTGTTTTTCACAAGCAGTGCCGGTTTCCAGCTCCGGAACACCGTGTACCACCATAGAGGTGGAAGGCATCAGTTCCGGTGACTCCCTCGCCATATTTCTGATAGCCCATGGTCTATCTTGCGCGCCCTTATGTTAGAACTTCTGTCCAGGGCTAGTACCTGAGCCATTAACAGTACTTTTTCGGCCTCTTCGGCAGAGTCCAGTGTAACCCGTAATGGGGGTGGCTTACCCTGAGGCGTGTGGACACCCCTGTACAGTCTGCACAGTTTTGCTGAACTAATGTTCAGACCTAGTTTGTTGCACAGGTTGGACCACTGTTCCTGATCAAACAGGGCCCGTTGTTCGAGCAAGCTATCCGTGCTCACAGGTACGTTAAAGAGGATGAGAGAGTTAGACCGACTACCCTCAGACTTAGGTTTGCCTTCGGCTTCTTGCAGTCCTTTGCATCATTAGCAACATTAGGCTTCATCGGTACCTGGACAGCCTTTTTTGTGTTGCCAGGCTTGCTAGTGGATGCAAGTGGTGCCTTTGTAATTTTGCCTTCCCCTGATGTGGATGCAACCTTGCTAATCTTCACCTTGTGAGAATTGGCATTTCCAGTCAGTAGGGCTGGTGTGTCCTTCTTTAAGTCTTTGACCAGTTTCGGCAGTGCGAGTTTAGCAGGGGGGAGCTGCATGATACTGTGTTGGGGCACAAGAGCGTGTTGTTTCTGCTATCCCCAGACACGCTTTGTGGGACTATGCCAGGGCGACAAAGTGGACACACGTACCAAAACCATGGGCATGGGTTATTTCTCATAAACTCATAGTATGCTTTCGGTACTTCTTTGTCACAACGGCAGTGCACCCATCGTTTGCAAAAATTACATTCAAACGCTGAATCAGTTTTAGAAACTGTGATGCTGCACGCCTGACATTCATCTCCTTTCCTTGATGACGCCTTCGAGGTCTTATGACGTCTTGAACGTTTCCTTTTAGGCTTGATGTGTTTCACACACTGGCCTACAGTTGATGCAGGTGTAGAATTCTGTCCTTCTGGTATTGCCTGTGCCGTTTCAGTACTAGACTGTGGCAATGCAGGCGTTGTATCAGGGCAGACGAAAGCTACACGAGACTTTAGGATCGGTATGCGGGAAGGGGTTGAAATCCCTGGATTTTTTCCTTCCCTGGCTGAAGCCCTTGTGAC